TTGATTGCTGCTCAGTTTTGTACATGACTGATCTTTAAAAAGGCCAGCTTGTTGATCTTTAAGTTGAGCGTCTACTGAGTCCTTCATTCGGTTCAACACCACTGTTAGACACTGTCTGAAACTGACAGTAGTGTGCAACCTCTCTAGTCCCGACTCTTACTAACGTCTTTTTTCGATATCCCCTTCTCTAGCTTTTTAGTACTGGTTCTTCCTCTAAATCTTTCTGTAGAGAATGCGGGGCATCTTTGAAGTTACCTCTGTATCTGACCTTAGTGCTTCTGCTGCTTTCCTACTCCTGATTTATCTGATGCTCATGCTGATTTTCGTATTGTTGATGGGGTTTATTTTGAAAAGTAATAAATCTTTAGGGAGTTGGAAATAACCCAAGATTCACTTATTTGTATGTTTATAACAAATGTAAGCGGAGATGGTGACGGTGAGATTCATGATGTACCCATCTAATTATCATCGCCTTACATGATAATTTTCCACAAAGCTCTACACAACTCTGTGAACACAAATAGATTATCTTCGAATAACACATATATAATTCTTATAGGGTTGTTAGGCTTTGATGCGGTTTCTTAGTTCCATGAATGAAAAGCGATTCATGAGTGAAATTTCTTTGCAAATCCGCCTTTCTGGGAAAGCATTTCGTATTGGATTATGTTAATAGTTAGGTAGTAATTAACGGTAATATTGTTTACAAACTGAATCAACATTAACAAATGTAACAACTCAAAAATACATCATGGATGGAAATAATTCCTCAGAAAGTAATTGATTATTGTATTCAAGTGATGTTATGCCGTAGTCCTAACCAGCGTGTCTTACAGTGAATTGTGTATTCAATTGGTTCTCCTGATTATCTTTAACGGTGGCCTTTAGATATAGAGGATATTCGTAGGTTATTAGTATTCGATCATATGTGTACTTAATCCATTGCTCGTGCAATTATAAAGTTAGACGTAGAGCACTCGATATGTATGGAAAATCGATTGATGCTGTAGTGAACCTTCATCGACTGAGATGGTCAGGATATGTATTACGTATTCCCATGCACCGACGACCTCGACGGGCAATGTTACCTAGTGTAGGGGTAAGTTGGGAGAAAGCTAATGGTGTCTAAACCAAGACATGACATTAACCCATGAAGACACTGACTGTTGAACTAAGCCATGTAGGTAAGTGCAGACTACCTGTTTGGGGTCCACGTAATTATTGCAACCAACAGTCGGATACTTTGGGTAACATGACCCAGAATCGTCCGCAATCTCGCAGGTGCATTCACTTTTAGTTTTCCCTTAGATCCTAATTTCCGAAATGAACTTGCAAATTTTTTTATTCCACTAATCCATATTCTCTTACCGCATCATATCTGTTATGCTTAAGCTTTCTGCCACCAACAGAACTGTTATTACCTGTACTACTTGTGGATTTGTTTTGACAATTTCATCACGCTCTGCTAATGGAGCGTGGCAACGTGAACTGACGTATACATGTACCAGGTTCTACGTTGCATATGACTTACAACTGTAATATTCATTGTAGGATTTAATTTGTCCTACAGATATACTACCAGAACCGTAAACGCGATACTGACGAGCACAAAGTCTATGTAAAAGCTATAATCAGAACAAGGACAACTTGACTTTAAACTTCATTTGTTTCTGAACTTAAAAACAATTAGATTAGTATAATGATTAAGGAAATTACAGTTAAGTGAAATGCACAAACATACAAACCAGTATTACGTGTCTTATCGAAATGAATAAAATTATGAATCACACTAATATAATAGGATAATAATGTCTTTCAATTGGTAGGTCCTATGCAACAGGGATAGTTTACAGACACATCAGGCCAGATCAATGTGGTGGGCGCTTGAACAACGATTTGATTTGTTAGTTATGAATATAACTGACATTCATCATGACATAATTTCGTCAATAGTTAAAAATATTTCACATATTATTTTCCAGATGAAGTGCGCCCAAGACTGGGTACAGCAGATGATATAAACGCTCTTTGGGCTAACATTAACACAATCGATTGTTTCGCAACTGATCATGCACCACACACTATTTCTGAAAAGAGTAAAGTGTCAGGGGCACCTCCTGGATTTCCAGGTTTGGAAACAATGTTGTCGTTGTTACTGACAGCTATGTATAATGGCCGGCTTACGCTTACTGAACTGATTGAACGCCTGTATATAAATCCATACAAAATATTTGGAATACCGACTGCTCACACTTTATATGAAGCTGTAAACTCAGTTAGTCGGGGGATATATGGCGAAACATGGGTTGAAGTGGATATGAGTGCTGAATGGCGTATCCCTGGGGCTGCATGGGAAACCAAATCAGAATCTGCACCTTCATTCTTTACTCGTGCTAATTGGAGCCCTTTCGCTGGAAGAGTTGTTCGTGGTCAAGTTCGTCGGGTCATGCTCCGAGGTCACCTAGCGTTTGTCGATGGACGTGGTATGACTAATCTTTTCGTTTTTTTTATTTTCACTGTTTAAATCATAGTTTTTCTCGGCAGTAATATTTAGGATGTCGCGTTTGGTCGGTTCAAAGCCACACGTTTAACTTATGTATTACCTACTCTGATACAGGAAGCTATGTAACTATCTCAAGGGGATACAGAATCAGTGAGCCTTATCGCTTACTATTTAAACATAGTCATAGTCGCTGTGTTAAGTTATAATTAAGAGTATTTCATACTTCTGCTAATATTTTTCGCCAATATGAGTGACCTCATCTGATTAATACACCTCTTTTTTGTTTAATTTCTCAAAAATAGTTTTGCTAGAAACATGTAATGCAATAGCTAGCCTGTGGTTCTGTGTGGCTGGGAAATTCATTGCAATATAAATGCCTTGGTTATAAAATGGCACAGTAAATAGTGGCATTAAAGCACCACGGAGGACAAATCAATTAAATTGTGTTAATAATAATTTGATTTTGAGTTTCCACGTTAAATAAATATCTAGATACCTATGTGAATCCCAGAAAATTAGTTAAAATTATTATTTTTATTATTTCGCATATTATCAGTTTCAGTGCACGCATGTACCATGTTATAGGTCGTGTATCACTGATTGATTGGAAGCTGTATGATGAACTATGCGCTGCTCCCATTTCCTAAATTTTATATTAAAGGGTATTTTTTTATTCTCCACTGCTGGGAATATGGTCTTAGAAAAACAATAGAAATTATTGATGAAATGATAGACTCGCCTAATCCCCATGTTTATGTAAACTCCTCAAACCTACTACAATTATTCAGTAATCCGTTTTATCAGTTTCCAAGTTCTAAACAAGTACTCTTGCATCCACTCTACAAATGACTTCACGCACTTTTATTCACTTATATTGTGTAGATAATCATTATTTCAATTCTTTTCGTCACCTATGTATGTTATCTCAGATTATATTATATTCCAGTGTCAGTCAGTCTCAGTCTCTGACTGAGTGTTAAACCTTAATACGAAATATGGTTTTAAGCTGCTGAGGAGAAATCACGAAATATGAATTTATATTATTTTACCTCAATCGTTGTTTTGGTCTTATTCAAATTCATAAAGAGAACCAACTGAATAAAATTTCCTCGCAATTCAAATTATCTTTTCCCCTCGTCTCTAATGTTGAAAGTTATTGAATTGAACTACATTTCTTATATATATATATATATATATATATATATATATATATATATATATATATATATATAATGTACATTTCCAGTGAATAAATTCTTTTTCTGTCCTGTTTCAGTTTTGGTAGAACCTGGTTTCGGTAAAGATGTGTCGTCAGACATATCCTTGCCTAAGAATTCTTACGACCCACTAACAATTGACACTTCTTTGAAACATATTCCTGTCTCAGCTGGTTCTCCCACTCTAAGAAACCGGTATAATTCAATTAATGAACGTGTTCAGGTAGTAAGTTACCTATTGTGTACAATTATCGTTGATTACACTTATGTATTCTTGTAAATTATTATTCCAAGGCATGTGACATTTTATCATATTCGTGACTTTACTATCTAGTTTATCTGTTGCTTTAAACAATTAGATAAATTCTTGATAAAATTTCATTCCATTAGATTTTGAAAATTAACAACGTCGTGAAGCTAAGCACAAGAAAAGTTTGCAGCTTAAGGTGTGGTATTTTCAAGTAGCTAGTACTGTGGTGTGTGCTACTTATATTGAAATAAGTAGTATATGATGTTAGTCGTGAACAGAAGGTCTTGCAGCAGAGAGACAAGAGGATCGAACAGTAACGAATGGAAACAGGATGCAATTTGTATGAAAATGCAAGAACAATGAAGTCTGAGTCATTTTGAGACAATTGGTGGACATTTTGCAAATTAAGCATTTACTCTATGATTGTTAGATTTTATTAACAAGTCCTGTAATTTTGTGTTGAATATATTCGATTGTCACCATCTATGTTCTTGTTCACTACAGTACTACATATATCTACATGAATGTTGTGTTACCATTCATTTTCTTTGTAACCAGTTAGTAAGAGTTTGGTGAACAACTTTTAAACTCACCAAGGTTACTCGCTTGTTCGGGGTAAATAATTCCAATTTTAATAGAGGTGTCTGACAACAATCATTTTACATTTTCAATCAATTTTGAGAAGTAAACTACTCACTTGCATAGGAATGTTATCCAGATTAACACTGAATGGTTGTTACCCCCGAACTCAGTTAATGGTAATATGTCCATTAAAACCACTTTTGTAATGCTTCATATCTATTTAATAGAAAAGCAAGTCATGTATTCCTAATCGAAGCTTTTTAAATTTATACAGCACTTCCCAATTAGTGCTGATTCACTTCCTTAGGAAATATTCACTGAAATTGGAAAGTAATCGATTAGTAGCAACATGGATCTCATTTCATAACTTATTCTATAAGGAAATACATAATTGCCATTATTATTATTATGAAAATATCTGTTCGTAAAACTGATAAATAATATTTACTTTTCGTATGTATATCCATCTGTATTTGTTCTTCAGTCTCAAGATGAACCTGGTACACCGATCCCAGCTACCACCCAAAGCGATGAGGGACCTCGTAGTCCAATTGTTGCATACCAACCTTCCGTATCTGGTCTAATTCCAACTGCCCAACTACCTCAAACTCACCAAACCCTTCCAAGTATGTGGTTAGAAGGTTTATCAGGGAAGCATATACTTTCTTCTCTGGATTTCTCAAGAGATCATCTTCGTCGGTTGTATAACTTAGCACATAGTTTTAGAGTTGCTCTAAATAAAAACAAACCTTTAGATCAGATATGCCGTGGAAAAGTATGTAAAACTTTAATACATATTTTATTAAATAAAAACAACTCATTAAATATTTATACTTCACCAAATCTTCTTTAGTATATTTAACTCTTCACTTTGCATAATTCTTTATCAGGTAATGGGAAATCTGTTTTTTGAGCCAAGTACGCGTACTTCTAATTCATTTGCTATAGCAATGCAACGACTGGGTGGCACTGTAATGCATTTTTCAGAATCTACCAGCTCCCAGACAAAAGGTGAAACTGTTTTAGATACTGTACGGATATTGGCCAGTTATTGTGATTGCTTAGTAATTAGGCATCCTGGAAAAGGTGCTATACACGCTTTAGCAAATTCAATAGTACACAAACCAATTATAAATGCAGGTTAGTTCATATTGTCTTTATATTCTTGGTGAGTTGTGTCTATTGCAATTGAATATGTTGTAATCTGACTACAGTATTAAACTAAAATTAATTATTGCTGTTTTCAAAACTAAATGCCCCTGAATAAATACAAAAGTTTCAGCATACTCCGAAATAAACGAATCCAAACTAAGATCTGTAAAGTTTTCATCACTTATTTTATTTAACATGACAGAATTTTGGCATTTTTCTCTAAGATTTGCTTATGGATAACTTTATCCCATGATAATATATTAATATTTCGCGAATATTAAATGTACTATGTAGATGAAAGTCTTTTATCGATTAGTTATTTTATTAAAAATAATAAGAATGACAAAAACAATGTCATAACGGAGGCGTAAAACTTGGTTGCTTATATAGTGAACTATTGTAAGTACAAACGAAACAATAAAGTGATCACAGCCGAGTTATCATTAAGTAAACTGTAACTAATAACTTACCTGAAAATAGTGGTTAGGATCTTTGATATTATCATGATAAAATTAAAATTTCTTTGTTTAGAGAAATACTTTTCTTTACATTTTATGATTAATCAAATGCAAACGGCCAAAACAAAATTGCTATTTCATGTGTCATTATGCAAAAGAACAAGAGACATTGTTCATATTTGATGCATAGAATCGTCGACGATTGTTACAAAGACTTCATTTTTTTGTTGACTATTCACTCAGGACAGGGTATTATCACCGCCAAATGAATGGAGCGTTGTAGGAAACAATCGTATACCTTATATGGTGCTTGATATTGTGGAGTGAGTAACTAAACTATATCATATGGCTAAAGCTCGTTTTTTCTCAACGTATACGACACTCTCCTTGATTTTTACGCCGCAATAATTGCGACCAGACACTGCTTTTAATGGATCTGGAACATTGAGTTACAATAAGATCTTAATAACTTCTAACTAAGTTATTTGATTTTTCTTTTTCTGCCATCTAAGCTTGTTTAAAATTAAGATTTTTATTTATTCTTTGAGCAAACAATTTAACCAGTCACAAAGCCTTTGATATTTAGATAATACTATTATTCTTACTATCGAAAACAACGTTTATCTGGTGTTGTTAATTCTTGGTACTAATACTTATCAACCACAGTATGATGATAATATTCGACTTTTAAGAGGATGCAAATTTCTGTGAAATCAGCTGGGATTACAACGAAGACTACTTTAAATATATGGTTGAATTATAAAAGTAGCTTGTTCTTGAAACAAACAAAACGTGTTTTTGTCACTATTAACCTTTATTACCTATGGTATTTCGTCTTTTGAACCTAAGGTTTCATGTTTTTCTTCTTATCGATGCAGGTGATGGAATAGGCGAGCATCCTACTCAGGCACTCCTCGATGTTTTCACAATTAGAGAGGAGATCGGGACAGTGAATGGTTTAACTATCACTATGGTCGGAGATCTCGCTAATGGACGCACAGTACATAGTTTGGCTCGATTATTATGCTTATATAAAGTCAAACTACGTTATGTTACTCACAGAGATGAATTTAAGATGCCACCAGAAGTTAAATCGTATGTTGCTGATCGTGGCATTCCACAAGAAGAGATGACTAGGTAGGTTTAGTTTGAACTTGACTACAATTTCTGTGAATGTTTGTATCTATAAAAACTATTCTATTTAAATATTCTGTAAAGCCAGAGATGCGGAAATACAATTCGATGCATTCCATCTTTCCTAAAGCCTATCACAAACATCAGATCATGCGTTGGACGACTACAATACACAACTGTGTAAACCAAGATTCTATTCAGGATTAAAGTTTAAACTAAACTAATAAATTATTTTTTATTCATAGCTTGGAGGAGGCACTTCCCGATACCGATGTTCTCTACATGACACGTGTGCAAACAGAAAGAATGAGTGATGACAGAGATGCTCGGCGTGACCAATTTGTTGTTACACCTGAACTGATGACACTAGCCAAGCCTAGAGGAATGATTGTAATGCACCCACTACCTCGTGTTGGAGAAATCAGCCCCAAATTCGATTCCGACCCTCGAGCAGCTTACTTCCGTCAAGCGGAGTATGGAACGCATGTTCGAATGGCCCTCCTGGCTATAGTGCTGGCTAATCAGAAATGAACTAATTATGATTCAGTCACAATGAACAATATTTCTTAAACATTATTTTGGTATATTAAAAATGTCACTATTTTGTTTATTACTTTGATACATAAACACTTCATGATGTGAAATATTAAACTAATCTAGTACTCTGTATGAGAAATGTTACTCTATTAATTATTTACTTTTTATATTCATTCTATAAGTAGTATCAAGAATAAAATTAGTTCTTAGTGCAGTTTCATGTTCTAAACAAGTTTGGAATACCAAAATCTTTGCCAGTACACAGTTCATAAGCTACGTTCATTGCGTAACGAAAACATTGTGGAGAGAAAACAAAGACGTTATTTGATTGAAAATGCTTTGTTGTTTATTGTTTCATGGAACCGATTTTTATAAGGAGTTCATTTTCGCAATGGGCAAAGTCACACAATTCAGAAGTGTATGGACAACCATCTGGATGGTTAAGTGACATCCAGCAGAGTTTTGTTTTACGATTCTTCCCATTTTTGTTATTGAATAACGGAATTCCAGAATCATTAAGCTTCGCCATCTTATCTGGTAACCAACGTAACTGAACGGTGTTTTTGATAGCTTGATGAATAAACAAAAAAATACTATAAGCAAAGTTCCATAGGCGCAAAAATAACCAGTTTTACATGAGCATGGGAATAGAACAAACATTTAGATCTTAATAACGCATAGTTGAGAATAAACTTAGTAGACAGATTGATTCTTGTCATGAACACATCGTCCTGGTTTGCGATTCGTGAAATGCGAAAATGGAAATGGCCTCAATGAAGCGGATTTCTTAAGCACCTTTATCCAATGAGACGAATGATCAGATTTTACGAGGTCACTGTTATCTGTAGAGGTGAGTAGAGTTTTTAAACTACCCATCTCGTGATAACTAAGTATTCTGTTTTGTTGTTCACACGAGGGGTATTTTAATCACATACTGAAGTTTATTTTACATTACGCCATTAAGTAAACAACTATGTTGCTAGAAAGTAATTATAAGCCAATCGAATAAATAAGTTTTTCATACGATTGGTTTCTTTTACGAATTTGAATAAAGCCAAAACAACAACTGAAGCAAAATAATATGAATTCATTTTATCTTATGGTTTCCCATCAGCTGCTTACAAGCGTGTTCGTATCACAGTGTAACATTAAGATATGATATAATATCTCGGAAACAAAATACCATTAGGTATCATTACCAAGGTGTGACTTGATAATTTCAAATAAATTGAGTATTAAGTATATTGTTATTATCTATAGCAATATATTTGTAATGTCCAAATGAGTAGGAAAATTAAGTCGGAAAATTTAAAAATTTAGTTTTTCTATGGATTGGAATATTTATAAGTATATTATTTTTATTACAATACCACTAGATTTTAGTAAGGTTTTCCATCTTATCTAGTTTATTTGCATTAGTATAACTTTGTCCAATTTATCGTTTGAAATGCTACATCTTTCGGCAATCTACGGCCAGAAACAATACACTATAAAGAAGTTGTAAACTTTCGAGTAATGTGAGCTAGGGACGAAAAGAACTACATTTCTTCTGAATATGTGTATAACTGAGTGCCGTAATCACTAGGTAATCTTTAATGCGGACTTAATTTAGTTAACATACAGTATATTACTCAATACAAATTTGTCTTCGAAAACATACTTTTGATGCTTTCATTGAACTCACACTTATGTCTCTCTGACTTCTACAACAACTGTCCTAGAAAAATAATAATGGCAAAAAATAAACAATCTAGCACACCGTTATGTACTATCCAGAATCTACTATTTCATTGGCCTAACATTGTTTATTAATCGTATCACACGTGAAGCAAACACATTGACAATATACACTTTTCTTCTGGATTCCTAATTTCCACCAAGTTTTAAAAAATAAGGGAATTCATTATTTTTTCACTAAATAACAAAGATAAAATTAGCAACCACTGTAAGGAAAACAAGATCTAACGGGTTTCAGTAAAGCCGTTTAGTTAAAATACCCCTTATAGTTTATATGCGTCGAGAATTAATGTGAGGAAATATTAAACAAATCAAGATAACATAAAAACTGAGGTATCTGTGGAAAGAATAGTTAGCCATTTAGTAAATCTATTCGACAGCATTTATATACGAGATGCGAATTGTTAAATATATCACTTCTAAAAATATCCTGAATGACTTACCAATAAAGAAATAAGAAAATTGCTACCACAATTACAAACCGGTTACCATGTAAGAATGATATACATGAAGTGGCTAGATTGAGGTTCAACAATTCTTATAATACTTCTCAAAGCTCATCTTTCGAGCATTAGCGAGCGTATATTGCAACGATTAGCTCGACATATTACATTGATTATCGCCACTTCAAATTATCTTAAGCGACAAGAAAACTAAAGACATTCGAAAATGGCTAACTACTTTTATGAGTGAGTATTTGCTTAACCCCTTTAGCTAAGCGGAGAGGAAAATTCTTAGCCATTTACGATTGTTAACAGACTACTGAATACGAAAGTATATGAACCGACACAAATCATTCTGATTTGACTCAATAAACTAAGTTGACAAATATAAAAGGTTCTGGTGATTAATAAGGAATCATTTTTGAAGTATTGTGATTTCTACTTTATTCTACATTTTTAGATACCTTCACTATTGTACACCTGTCTACACTGCTAAGAAATTTAATCGGTCACTACTAACTTATTTGATGGTATAATACTCATTTACTTTGTCTAAATTTAATCACTAGGTTTGATTTCGGATCTAGTCATATGTACACCTACTCACCCTGTCAAAGTGTAATAAATTTACATACACACATCCATACATATATAGAAGTTAAGCGTTCGCGCGCGAAACTGATAGGTCCTGAATTCTAATCCCGCGGGGCGGGGTCGTGGATGCGGACTGCTGATGAGTCTCATACTAGTACGGAACGGCCGTCCAGTGCTTCTAGCTCTAACTGCATCATGAATTTAAGTATATATATATACCCCTCTAAAGATTATGCACCCAGTTCATTCCAGCTGGAGAGTACTACCTAGGACTTTTAAAATCCTTTATTCTTTGTACTGTTTATCCGATTAAATGGTGTGCACTTAAAAAAATCAGAAGTACTACATTCAAACACTAGTCACAGTTTGAACTGCTAATACATATACAATGTAAAACTGCATGAAAATATACAGGTCACATAGACTAATTAATTAATTTCATGTTAAGTCAACTCACTTCGAAAACACTGATGGTGATTCCTCAAGACAGTTTGCAAACCACCATGCTGAGATTTTAATAATTTCATATCTTCTAGTGACACAAGTTCACTGCACTCTGATAAAGTTAATGTACCTTATTATGAAAGAGGGAAGAATATTTTATTCCAACTTTTTTTCATATACAATCTTTTATAATAAGTAAATATATTTAAGAGAAAAGCATCAATACAACCATGAAAAAGAAAAAACCTAGCAATACTCAAGTTAGTACAAGAAAAATATTAAGTGTGGCCGACAATGACAGTGATTGGTTGTTTGCTTACTCAGACTTGTAGATAGTCTGACAGGCGTTAAATGAGTTATATATTCTCCTATCCCTATTATCATTGATTGTTGTTGGTTTTTGGTGTGAAAATATATCTACGTTCTAGTTAGGTGAATCATGTGTTCTTGATCTGAGTTGTGTTGAAGTCTTGTAGAATAGACAATAACAGGGAATCTAGCGTAGGTATTCGTCTAACATTCCGTTCGTGTAGACGTAGGAAACCGACCTTTATAACAGCGGCGACGGTGGTTAAAATGCATCTACGCCTATATATTCAGTTAAAGCGGATTTTGTAACAATAAAGTGTATGATCTGAATTCTTTATTGCAACAGCAAAATGCTCTTATCGAATTATTGGTCAAGAGTATGTCAGTATCCCCAAGAACCCAAGTATCTAATTCCATTATGACTTCGGATTCTACTGCGAATTCAATAAATGAATTTAGATTTGACCCAGAAAGTGGGACTACTTTTGAGGCGTGGTTTAAGTGCTATGAGGATTTGTTTATTGATGATTGTAAAGAGCGGGATGAAGGGTCGAAACTAAGATTATTACTACGGAGGCTCGGAGTTTCTGAACATGAAAAGTTCTGTAATTTTATTCTCCCAAAGAAGCCATCCGATGTGACCTTCAGAAAAACAATCGAATGCCTGACACGTATATATGATGAAAGATCATCAATTTTTCACACTAGATACCAGTGTCTCTCTCCGGGATATTAGACGAATATCTACGCTAGATTCCCTGTTAATGTCTATTCTACAAGACTTCAACACAACTCAGATCAAGAACACATGATTCACCTAACTAGAACGTAGATATATTTTCACACCAAAAACCAACAACAATCAATGATAATAGGGATAGGAGAATATATAACTCATTTAACGCCTGTCAGACTATCTACAAGTCTGAGTAAGCAAACAACCAATCATCGTCATGTTCGGCGACACCACTTGCAAACCGATCTATACATGAACATAGACTAGCAGCAGAACGACATGACATATTATCAATTACATCAATCCGTCCAGATGAATTTGATCGGGAAAGTAGTAATCAATGACATTCTAATAATCCCAAATAAAGCATGATAATTTGTTCAACATGAAATCAATAAACACACCGGCATAAAATACAGTCTTGTTAATCCAATAACGTAACTGCCTGGAGCCTTTCTAGAGTTACTACCGGTTTCAAGTCCATGTAAAAGTGGAGTATTGGATATAGGAGTAGCAGTTTCATTTAATAAGAAACAACCTTGTTAAAAAAACGCTAAACAAGAGGATGCTTACCAATCATACAGTCAATGGTTAACTGAAAAGCACAGTCAACGAGTATGTATAGATACTCGAAAATGAAAAAACCTACAAAGATCATCAATCACAAAAAGCATAATGAGGACAGACTGATTGATCACCTGAGGAGTGATCTTCAAACAGCTCACTTCTGCTTGAAGTAGACTCTGATGATGCCCAAGACGACAATGGGAGATTCGTAACTAAAACAACCGGTCCAGAGAACACATAACCATACAAAATATGTACCTGAGCTTTTTTATAGTCGCAAAGAAAGTTTTGAAATCGTTATACTCGCTTATCGATTTGATTGATAAATTCTGGTGAGAAAAGGATGAGAATAAACTCTGTAGTCAGTACTGACGAGTTTAGATGTCATTTAGTAACGGATAACCAAAAGAAGTGAGTTACTCGTTATTATGGATTATACCACAATTGGTCAGTTCATAAATCTACGTTTTAATAACAATTCTTATCCCGATATTTCAGTACACCCATCCAACTAAACTTCACGGCAGCTTCACATATTGTATTCTACTGCATCTTGTGATAATTTCTGTCACAAATAAATGCTAGATGAGTATACCTTGTTGAGAGATTTATATACTGCAATTATTGTGATCACATATGACAGTTTACGATAACTAATACCTGAAATTATTATACGTAATCTATATTGACAATATAAATTTTATCACCACCTTCACTGTTTTAAACGATTTTTATTAGGTATTATTAGGTAATAACCTCTAGGAAATTGTTTAGATACAGTAAAAAAGCGCCAGCCACATGAAAAGATTATGCTGATAAAATGAAATATTTAGATGAAACTATACGGATATATGCAAACAAAATATTTAAGGCATGAAATGAAGATTCCAAACTGACCTAAATCTAAAAGTCGGAATATAATTGGCACGACAGTTTAATGCGTACATTAATTCCATGAGGAGTCGTCTTCATATAATTAATCAGTAGACATATATCAGACCAGTTATATACGGCCATTAGATTTTGATCGTATACAATAAGAGTAATGAGCATTTTTCTTCAAGAATTTAAGCTGAGCTACTTATTAACACCTTCTTTGTTTTACGTTAGCTGTCATAATGAATAGAGACAGGTTATGTATCATGCCGTCAATAGTGTGAAACGCATTTTTAACCGCCCAGTGATCCGTATGATGATTTAGATCCCTATTTATCTTACGCTAAAAATACCCTTGAACTTATTGAACTTGCAACATTACAGTGAAAAATTGGATACTATTTGGAAAAGTATCTACCAATAAAACTGTTATGGAAACTTACCACCAGGATTCCACCAGCGATTGTCCAAAGTTCTTATTCTTAAATCATCAGAAAGCATAAGATTATGGGATTGTAAACGATATTTATCTGGTTTACAGATTAATAAGGCTTTGAAAACTGTATGTGATATTTTGTCAAGAACAAATTTCGAAACTCTTGTACAATTACAGGGAACCTCTGTGGGTGGACGTGCAACAAACGTTTTGTTAGGCTTTGAAGTAATATCACGTTCGTATTCAATGTATTTATTAACAGCAGACAAACGGTTTGAGTGCTCATTATTTTCAAAACACTTTGAATCGATTATATCTCGACCAACAATACATATCTAGAACAACGAAACATAAAAATAACATGCAAAAAACAGAAACTGGAGTTAACAATTACTCAGTAGAAAGTTATGTGAATTTCATAAACAGTCGGAATACATCGTTTAAAACGAGGTGGAATTACCGGGAAACTCATTTTATTTGTTGACTTACAGAAATATGTCATTGGATCAATGCGAAGCAAATGTTTACTATCTAATGCTAGTGTGTGTTCTTTGATTTTGGAAGAAAACTAAACCATTTATTGTCCCGAAACTATTTCTATCAATTAGTGATAAAGATTACGTTGGCTAGTGGGTTTTAAAGAGAAACTAGGTCACTGAATCAATAGCTTCGTTTTTGTGATCTGTGAGATTACAGACAGCCGCGATATCATACTATAGTGCACTACAAAAGCTAGAGACGACTATGATATTAGCTAAAGTAGTTAAGAAAAATCCGATAAAAAAACAAGCAGGTAAAGTTAATTAAGACTAAAAATCTTATGTGAACCCCCCAAACAATGGACGATAAGATACAGCTGTCGATGTGAAACTAAACAAATGACTGTCTCCAACAATAAATTCTCTACTAGCTTGTCAGCCTATAGCCTTAAGTTTGTGAACAAATTAAGCAGTCTCATAGAATCCATCTTCATGATTTGGACACTATAGCAACCGTTTTAACTACCTCTCTTTGTCATATATGGTATGCCATCAGCTTTATCTCAACCAGTGAATTAATGACCACAGAGTAAAATTGTGCAACAATACCAAATGAGAAATTTTCATGTTCGTTTTTGGATGGCATACACAACTGTAGACGGCTGCAACTGGCAATATAGCTACGGTGCATTTTGAATCTAGCAAGGTTTGTGACGTAACTCACACATGATCGTGGTTCGTCTTTCAGCCACCAGGTTGTTCGTAGAAATACAATAGATATTTTGTTGAGTTACTGACAGCAGAGTATATTGCAATTTACATTCCTTCTCTCTCTCTTTTATATATATATATATATATATATATATATATATATATATATATATATATATATATACTCAAAAATTCGACAAATAACTAATAGTTACAAACCTACACGTTTGGTTGATGGTATTCTGAGCGCATCAACTTCAGGTATAAATCTGCAAATGGCAAAAATGTGTTGTATATAATTAAGATATGTACCATATCGACTATTTTCTGTTATCTGTTTGACATTTATGTCGTCAGGTAAAAATGAAAGTGAACTTTTCGGGATATTGAATTTTCCAAAAAGACTGTAAGGACAACATGGTAAAACAAATATCTTGCATGATGGTCCACTTTTACATGCCAGTATAGGCAACCAAGGTGTAAGTTCATCACTGTGATTCCCAATTAGCCAATTGGCTTGTGGAAACCCACAAACTTCTTCTGGATTTAACGAAATTTCCTATAATATGAAAGAATGGTAGCGAGATTTTACAGAGTTGAGTAACATTATAAATGAATTTTAGTTAAAAATACAATTCAGAAAAAACTGGATTGCTGTAGCTGATGGACTGGATCAGAATAAAACTATTACTCCTAGCCAATATTACACAAATATAATGAGAAAGAATATGGAGGTAACCATAGAAAAATAGAAACAACCAGAAAAACTAGAGTTGGGTCGAATATCCGAAGGGTCATAAAAGGGAGTATGAATTCGTCTGGGTTTTTTAAATGAAGAACATTGATTTTTTGTTCATATTTCCATTAGAAATATATTTATATTCTGGTATAATAGGGAATAAATAAGTGTGCCAAGCAAATGAAGCTATAATATTGTAAAGAAATGAAAGAAGGGTCGTACAATCAATAAATAAACAGAAAGAGTATTTAATATGGGATAGAGCTCAATTAAGAACACAACCAACACTTCTTTTAGTTAAGAAAGTTTATCTTAATAGTGGTAACATTGTAGTAGGAAACTACATTACAATCGTCACTGGCTTCAATGCTGATTCATGTCTGATAACGTCTCAAGTCAGCGAGCTGCTAGATCTCTGGAAACCCGACAAGGGAGTCTTGATTTATCGACAGATCCCAGCCATATATGACTGGATATGTATCACTGCGAACGAGGAATGTTAAGATAATTATGAACCGCGATCGAGAAATCTGCGTTTATCAACAATGATCGATTTGACAACCAGTGGCCTCATAAACCGGTGCCACGTGATGACTGAGCTGCCCTTAACTTCCTATGATCAACTCTTTTGATCTTCAAATCGATTTTTTTCGAGTTTACTGTTCCAAAGTATCATTCATAATTTAGATGATTTTAGAAACTGTATTGGTTTAATCGGTTGTCCTATGGTTATTTTACGAGAGCGTTGCTATCTTTTCTTACGAAATAGATCAATTACCGATTTAGGCTCACTAAATGAAATCACGTTTAGATCCCGAACTCAAAGTAAATTCCTAGTTAACCTTACCGACAATACTAGACCATTGTGCCTAAAGACATCTGAAATTAATGTCATACTTCGCTACTTTTTATTGCTTTGTTATTCATGGCTCTTCCAACTTTGCAGATAAATGAGATTTGGTTCTTCATTACACAGGACGACAATATCACTTATATATGATGTCAAGGTCTCCTACTAATTAAGAGATCAGCCATTTGAAGATAGAAAAAAGTGACTTTCAGATCGACCATAATATTTAAATTGCCACGAGCTAAACCCAGGTATAACATTCTTACTTGTGGCTTTTACAACTCGAATATTTTAAAAAACAAAATACTTAGCTAGTTTTATGGGCAAAAAATATTTGGTGTACGGGAAGCCAGTTTTATTTAAAATGATCGGAAGCTGTATATTAACATCACCTTCCTAGGATTTATTTTTAAAATTAGATAAAATTATACAAACTAAATATCACGTAGTAATGTCATTTAAAACAATCGTTGAGAGTTACTGAGGTCAAAAAAGTTAAAACAGCGTTCTGTATCCTGTAAGAAAATCACATTTTATCTTGGTAGGGTGTAGAATCGGGATTTTAAATGTGAAATACACCGAGAACTTAAAGATCACATGCAATTCAGGGATTGAGAAAGCACAAAAAACATACCTTTAAACGTTGTTGTACACTTAGTGGATAAGACTTCCAAATGTGCCTTCTACGTACATCTACTCCTATGCCAGTGAACTTGTTGAATAAAGGACAAAGTAACTTACTCCTTCCGACGAAAGTATGTACGTCAACAATCCGTTTCCACAACCAAGATCGACGAAATTAACAGGTTCATTTTTCCATAAACACTAAAAAAGCAAATTTATTGTGCAATTTGACATACTATAAGGTAGCAAGCTATGCCAATATCTTCATACACGAATTTCATTGGGTCTGTTTTCTCCGACCAGTTCTACTACAAATAATCAATCACGATTTTAATGGATACCTTAACTAGAGTAGGTCCATAGGTATTTTTCAAGCGTTCGTATTGCAATTGATATAAACGGCAATCAATTAGTGAGAGGGAAGGAATATTAACTTTTGCATCACAAGAATACCAAAGATTAAGCTTCTGTTCAAGGACGTCTTTCAGCCAAGAACTCTGGAGAAACCCAGAAGACTCATCCAAGACGGAAACTTGAATGCGACCACTACTAATCAGTATAATAGAGTAAAATTACTTTGTTTCCTCGATAATGTAAGTTATGGAGATCGATGAAAACTTATAAGCTGATCCTTTGGAACAAACTTCAGTGAATTCACTGATCCCAGTACGGAGCTTCGGATAGATAAATCTTACGCAGGATTCATCAGTTTCGGATACAATGGATGAAGCAAATACATCTTTATGTACAACCTGGGGTTTATGGATCCATATAGACAACGCCGTAGTAAAGCGTTCATCCATCTGAAGGCTAAAAAGCACAGAAATATTAGTCAAATAGCTGACGTCAATTAACTGATGAGTTGATACAATTGTGTTTTAAAACCATACTCCTGAAGGTATAAGATCAAATGATGGAAGTTAAACTAACTTATACTGCCTAACCTGTTAGCATTAAGACAGAAATTACTAGTTCTTGTAAGAAATTTAGACATCAATGAAAGATAGCACTGTCACACTAAAGTGTATGTTTATTTAAGACTCAAATGACCATGTGTTAAAAACAAAAACCATTTTGCGGTATCTCAAACTAAAAAAGAACATAAAACCCAAACAAGAAATACCTGTTCTTTCTAATCCAACATTCCAGCAAAGAGAGACTGTGCTACCTCAAAAAATTGGTCAGTCATTTAGATAGGTTGATTGAATACAGATGGAGTGGGTTTGAAGACATATTCGAGGCCATAACATTGCCGTTCATATCATGGTTAACACAAGCAATGAAACTGCCTTTCATGAATCGGGAAATGATACAGAGTAGGAAACATTTTTGCGACTTGTTTCTAACACTGGTCGTGAGTTATTTAAGTATGAGTACCGAAAAATCAGGGGTGTACGTAAAATGGCTAGAGCTAGACCCCGCACTACATACGAAAGACATTCGACACACGATAGCCGTAATTCACAAGAACGATTGTTTTCGTATGTCAAGCGGAGAACAACACGTAGTATTGGAGTCCCCCGTTACTATTACACGATAATTCAAACACGGTCAAAGCTGAGATTTTGTCAAACTACTTCAGTGAGGTCTACTCTGCTGGCTTTGTTGTCAACACACCCAATAACCACGCCACTGAGATACCATGGTAGTTGCCGCTACAATACCAATGCTTGTAAGTCACCGAGGCCCGACAGGTTACATTTACAATTGCTATTATTCCTCCTGGGCATTATTTCAGAACCACTCACGGTACCATTTAACATGTCCCTTTTCCGAACTCTTTAGAGATTAAAAGAATGCTATCGCTAACCCTATACTTAAGTATAGAAAGATATATCGTTCCCAACTACTGAACTATTGGTCCAACTAACGCAGTAGCTAATGTGTTTGAGAAAACAATTCGGACTAAGTTACTAAGTCATGTAGAATCATGCAATCTATTTACCCTTAAGAAACACGAGTCTCAATATTTATGATTAACTAACCAATAGAGATAATTGGACAGCCAACCTAGGATAGTGGTTTGACTATCAGTGTGATATTCAAATATTTTGATGTGTATCGATAAGGGCTTGTGCAAAGCTCTCAAGCTTTGGAACAACAGGAGTCATATAAGAGCGAGAGAAATTCTTGTGACCAGAGACAAAGGATGATGGTAGATAGAACACCATCTGCAATGAAATCGATTAAAATCAGTATACCTTAAGACACCATCTTACATCCCCTATTTTTCTTTTTCTACGTCAACGAATCACCAAGAGTGTGTTATTCTACATTGGACACGGCAATGGTTATAACCACTGCTAATTAGCAGTATGCCGTTAATGGTACGTCGCTTCTACGAGTGCAGGAACAACAAGACAGGAATATCAGTGAGTCATGACTTGAAAACAACTACGGATTGCAATACAGCAATTCTCAAAGATTTTCAATTGTTATGGTTGTTATTCCGCATCTTAAGTAATGATTTTGATGTTAACACTTATGATATAACTCCCTACGGAACTAATTATCTCCGAGGCCACAATGAGTTTAAAAAACCTCAACCAAATAAACTCAGTGGGATTCTCCTACACCGATTGTTCAATGACTAGAAGGTGCGTTCCAGAGTACTCTACGCGAACAGGTGTCATCATTTCCACCAGTGTACAATCTCAAAGAGAAGCTGGATCTTCGCTCCGACGATTAACACAGGTTAAACGACTTTCTATTTTTTTATCGCTGAAGACCGGACTTCCAACCGAAGTAAGATTTTGGTATTCAGTACTTACTTACTACGTAGTAAGGATAGGAAGCCAGTCAACCTATGTTAATCCTTGCAATTTTTAGTGCTGTTGAGATCCAAACTCACTTTGAATTTATTAACAGAAGATGCTGACCTTGCGCTCTATTTAAAAGGACAGTGGTACTCTTTCTCGTTGAGTTAATTAACTGTTTTGATCGTAAATTACGCATCAAAACTACTGTTTACACTTTAATTGCATCTACCCCAGTTAAAGTGATATTTTATTGAGTTTTTCGATTTTGCTTCTGTGTATTTATTGCATCGAAGCATACTTGGTCGACTTTTACTTGGTTTATTTAGTTAAGGTTTGAAAATCCTTCTACATATCCTGTTTTCGTCACCGTTATAGTTGATTTTCAATATGGCTAGGTCTACTCATAAATGTGGACAACCATACTGCTTATTTCCCGTGGATGAAGGGATGCAATGTGATGAGTGTAATAAGTGGTTCCATAAGATGTGCACCCGATTAAGCCCCACTGCATATAAAAGGTGTTCAAAGCCCAACTCTCATTGGCTTTGTAGTTTTTGTTGCTCGAGCAAAACATTGCTTATCCAGGAAGCAATTAGTCTCCTGGTGTTGGCTAATAAGAAGGTTGATGAGGGCTGTACTGATAACATTGGTACGGATGGCGAAGATTGCGTTAGTGTCGTAAGTGCTATCACGGCGCAAGCCAGACATCTACCTGTGCAACCCGCAGTTAAACGTTCTCCCCCGAAACGATCAGTGAGTGACACGTCATTAGACGTTGGTGGCCATATTGCTACAGCAGCAACCGGTGACCCAGATAAAACAATTACTGTCCCGAGTTGTTCTAATATAGACGTTTCGACTGATGGAAAATGGATGACGCGAAAACGCAGAAGAGTAGGAAAGATAGCTGAAACTAATGACTGTTTACTTGGTAAGTCCTTGGTGGACTCTCAGACCAATCCGCCAAAGTCTCGTAGTAAAGCTTCGTCTGACATTGTTGTGAGTCATTCGCTTGACTCCCAGGACTCTGTTAAAATAAAAGCCAATCGTAAGCTACCAGTAGTTAAAATACAGGATCTAACGTCACGGTCGAAAGCTGTGAACACAGTTTCAAAGGAAGCTAAACCCATCCCTAGTTTAATTATTTGGAATCTAGAGGAGTCGAAAGACAACGACCCTGCTAGAAGACATGCATATGACCTGCAGTTAGTGGAGTCTGTGGTAAGGAATGTACTACCTGAAGAGGTTTCAGGGGTACATATTACAAAAGTAATACGACTTGGTAAATGGGTTGGAGGCGAGACCCAACCAAGAAGGATCCTGAAGCTGGTTCTCGGGAGTTTCGAAGAAAGAGACATATTATTGAAAAGCGCACTAAAAACTCGTGCCTCAAATATCCATATTCGACCAGATTGGCCACTTGAGGATCGAATCAAGTGGAAGAATGCTCTTAAGGAGTTGAGGACTCGCAAATTAAATGGCGAAAATAACCTTACCATTAAAAGTTTTCGGGTAGTCAGGTCTTGGAAGCCAATGCTTCCGAGGCCTGTACGGGTAGAACGATTGATTTCCAAAACACCTTAAGTGTGTGCTACACGAACGCTCGTAGTCTTAGAAATAAAACGTCCGAGCTAAGTCTGATGGTGCAAGAATTATGTCCCGATATAATCGTTGTTACAGAAACTTGGTTCACAGTAGATATAGACTGTTCTCCGTTCATTGCTGGTTATATCTGTATCAGAAGTGATAGAGTTTCAAGTCGCAAGGGGGAGGTATAATATTATACGTTAGGGATCACTTTCGTATACAATCAACCATATCGGAGGCTCATATCAGTGGCACATGTGAGGTTGCATGTTGTAAGATTAAATCTAGAAATGGGTTAGTGACTATAGGGGGAATATACCGTAGTCCGTCTTGTCTTGCTGACGACTTTATCCTAAGACACATCTGTTCTTGGAGTATGGCAGAATGTTGTCTCATCATTGGGAACTTCAACGCACCGCATATCAACTGGATAGAGCTTACAGCTCCAGGTAGTGGTTTCGATAGCGACCTTTTATCTACCGTTATTCAGTGTGCACTTGTACAATGTATCACAAAACCGACACATATTGATTTGCAACATGTTCCGTCACTGCTGGACCTCGCCCTCACCCACCACTCTGAGGATGTCTTTGATATCCAGCACCTTCCTCCACTAGTGAACAGTGATCACGTTGTAATTCACTTTAAGTTTAGGACACATGGTATACAATTCGCATCTGCTCCACCCCGTCCCAATATCTGGCGAGCTAATATTCCGGAAATCAGAAACCGTGCTATCTCAACCGATTGGTCGGTCGACGCGGATGGATTGATCGAAGATGAATGGAATAAGTTTAAGGCTACATTCGAGTCCGTAACGTCGCTGTTTATCCCATGGTCAGCAGGTAAGCTATCACATTGCCCTCCATGGATTAATAAGGAAACCCGGAAGCTGTTAAAGCGTAGGAAACATTTCTGAGACTTATTCTTGTTGACAGGTCATGCACTATTTAAGCGTGAGTATCAAAAATACCGTATTATCTGTAAGAAAACCATAGCGAAATCCCGTACCACTTACGAACGACAGTTAGTATATGATAGCCGTACTTGTCCGAAACGATTGTTTTCGTATGTTAAACGGCAAATGAAACGTAGTGATGGTATTCCCCCGTTGCTGTTACACGAAAATTCAGAATTACTAGCTGAATCAGATCGAGCAAAAGCTGAGACTTTTTCAGATTATTTTAGCGAAGTCTTCTCTACGTTTATTGTAACAAATACTTGTCCCACTCACACCGAGATACCAACCATTGAATCTGTACAGGTGACTGAGGAAACTGTCCTTCCGTTGATAACTAACCTCAAACCTGGTAAGATACCGGGCCCTGACGGGTTACATCCACGGTTGCTGTCATCTCTTGCGGACATTATTTCAAAACCGCTTGCGACACTCTTCAACATGTCCCTCTCACTCGCTCAACTTCCTAGAGATTGGAAGGACGCTATAGTCAGTCCTATATTTAAGGACGATCAGCGACATATAGTATCTAACTACCGGCCTGTTAGTCTAACTAGTATAGTCGTTAAGTTACTTGAAAAGATAATTCGGGTTAGGTTGCTAAGCCACATAGATTTACACAATCTGTTAGCTCCTGAGCAACACGGATTTCGTAACAAGCGTTCATGCTTGACTAACTTGCTTATTGCGAGGGAGGATTGGACAGCAGCCCTAGATCACGGTCTGTCTGTCGACGTGATATTCATAGATTTTAGCAAAGCGTTTGATAAGGTTTCACACGTAGGTCTTATGCAGAAGCTCACGAGCTTCGGAATAATAGGTACTGTACATGAGTGGATAGGAAATTTCTTATGTGACTGCAGACAGAGAGTTAGGGTCAATGGAACGCTATCCGATTGGAAGCCGGTCAAAAGTGGTGTACCCCAAGGCACCATCTTAGGCCCTCTGCTCTTCCTTCTCTACGTTAATGAGTTACCACTGTTACT